GTAGCTGGATCTGCATTATCACTGGGGGGAGTGTGCGCTTACACGCACACGCCCCCTCCCATCCTAGTGTCCTTAGTGTCCATGCCTCCCAGTGAGTTTTCTTAAGAGGATTCCCCCAAAGGCCCGGGAGTCTTCCCCCTGGTTCTTGAGCTCAGGAAGCAGTGCATCACCAAGGGCTGTTGTCACAGAGTCATGCTTCTGACTGTGACCAACGCATCCCCCTCTTCTAACCGAACATGGTCTTGCCAGGTGTGTTTTCCATCACTTCACCAGAACTGGTCATCCTTGATGACACACTGCAGCCAGCTTCCACCCACCATATTTCTCTCCATTGCCCGTTGGAGCAAAGTCTCCTGGTACCCAATGCTGTTTGCTTTGGACCAGCACGTGGATTATAATCACCCACCAAATTGTAGAAGGAAAAAGCAGCCAAGCCCCTAAAGGAATGGAAAGGCTATGGGTTTTGCTTTACATTGCTAACCAAACCTCCCAGCTCATAAAGCACTTTCTTCGCAACAACCAAGGAATATGATTTTAGAAATGAAAGGAACCTCTGAGTTCATTCTAATCCAATATTCCGTCCATGCTGTGTGGATCTCGTATATACCCAGTTATCTACCAGTTGTCTCCCTCTTTAGAATTTAAGCTCCTTGAGGGTAGGGACAGTTTCGCCCTAGCACATAGTAAGTGCTTAGTAAATGCTTGTTGATTGACTCACTGATTCCTTCATTTTACAGCAGAAGAAATAGAGGCCCAGAGTAATGACTATTTTGTAAATATTTGTATCCATTCTCTTTATATTTACTCTGTACATATACTTATATATGTCTTTTTTGTTTCCAGCATTAGAATGTGAGGTCTTTGCAAACTGGAATAGGTTCATTCTTTGTATTTGTATTGCCAGTGCCTAGCATAGTGCATACAGTAGGCGCTTAATAAATGCTTGGTTGATTGTTCAGGGATACACAGTAGTATATGGCAAAGCCAGGAATCAAACCCAGGTCTGGGGCAAGTATCATTGTTATTTCTGTTTTATTGATGAGGAAACCGAGGATGATGAGACTCAGTCTAGGCCTCACAAGCTAGTCAGTTGCAGAGCTAGGATGAGAATCAGAGCACTTTGACTGCCAAGTCCAATCTGCTTTCTCTTTGCTGTGCTACCATGCATTGTTCAGGAAAGCTAGGAAGATTCTAGAACATCAGAGCTGGAAGGGCCTTCAGGTACCATTGACTTTACCATCACCACCCAGCACATATAGGGCAACTGGAGCCCAGAGAGCTTGGACACTGGCCCCAGATCACACAGCAAGTTATCAACAGGGACAAGAATAGCCCCTGCTCCCATCCCATGGCACTTTCCACTCCCCTACTGTTACTCCCATGTTGCTTCCATTATGATTCCTCCCTCGCCCCCAACCAAAACTCAACCCATTCCTGAGGGACACTCCTTGGCAATGAGTCACTCCCTTCCTATGAGCTCTGAGATCAATACTGCAAGTATCTAGAGCAACATCAGGCACTTGCAATTTCCATTTTTCTCTTTCACCTTACCTAGTGTTTGACAGGACAAGTGGAATGGGGAAGAAATTCTATCAAGTTTGGAATGTACAGGAAAGGGCACAAGAACAGTGACAGAACATGAGAGCGCATGGGACTTGGGCACATGCACAGTCATGCAAGGGAGCGGGGGAGGAGGAGCACCGAACTTGAGAGAACAGAGGAGAGGCCTAGCTTGGTGGAAGGAGGTGGGGGAGGACGAGCACATACAAATAAGCCCGGTTGTAAGATCTGAGGTTGCTCTAGCCTGTCAGAGTGCACAAAGCACTTTTTTACATCCTCACAACAGCAATCTGAGGTATCTACTCCAGGGGTTGTTATCTCCCTTTTCCAAATGGAGAAGCGAGATTTTGAAGTTAAGTGACTTTTCCAAGGTCACATAGTTAGGAAGCTTTGGAAGTTGCCTTCAAATTGGAACCTAGGTTTCCTCGTCTACGAAAATGGAAATGATGATGTTTCCACTGTCTCCTCCAAAGAGTTGTTGTGAGGCAAGTGTTTCTATAGAAATGTAAGCTCGTATTATTGTTATTTATCAGGTGACTGGAAAACTGACCCAGCTGTCTGATGGGCCTCCATCTCCTTCTCTTATGATGGAGATATTCTAAATAGGCACTCCAGCTTCTTGCCTGGACCCAGTTCATTCTATATTTATTCATTTATACTTTTAATCTGTATCATTTTGGAAGCAGTACCAGAACTAGGGACAAGCAAGGTAGGCAGCCACCTCAGACATACAATACATGATAAGGCACAACAGGAGCTATTTCTTAATATAACTTTATCCAAATGCATCAGACCTCCATGGGGGGGGGGGGGCAGGGATAGGGGCAGAGCAGCATTCCCAACCACCCGCAAGCCCTGGGAGATCTCAATGGGCCAATGGACCCCAGCATCACCTTGGGGGTGGTTAGGGTTTTGGAGTCTCCCTAGCTTCACCTTAGTGCCCTCAAAACTGGCTGGAGTGGCCCTAGCTCCTTGCTCATCTCCCAGACTTCAGGAAGGGAGTACAGTGTTCAGGATGAGCCCTCCTCCCTGAAACAAAATGTCCCAAAGGTCTCTAAGGCAGGGCACTGTCTCTTTAAGGAAGATGCACAGAGGTCATCCTCATTCCTGTCACTCCTGATGAAGCTGTATTAAGCGTTAGTCCTGTGGTACTAAAGGGGAATGTTGGTTGGCTGGCAGGCTGGCAAAGGGTCTGTCTCAGTGACAACACAGCACACCCAATCCCCAAGAAGCACTAATGACACCACTTCCTTGCTCACATTAACGCATAATTAAGGCACCATTTCATTTTCAGGTTCTGGCTTGCTTTTATTTCCCCTCCGCTTGGATCATTTTGCTCAGTCCTCCCAGGGGCTCTGAGTGAGTTGGAGCACTGGCTAGCTCTGCTGGGTGGGGCAGGGTAATGGTTTAAGGAGGGGGATGGTCTGGGGGAGTGGGGAGGAAAGGAGAAGGGGGGTGGTCTTTGGATTTTTATTTGTTCCTTTCACTTCCCAACGCCAAGGCCACTGAGAAGAACCAGGTTCTCTCCAGGGTCCTGAAAATCATCCCCAGCCCAACTTCCCCAGGTAGCTTCCAGAAGACTAGAGTTTCCCAGTTCTAGGCTGTGCACAGCTAAGGAGACAGGAGCTAAAGTGCTTCCCTTATTTATTGATTGTATTAATTACTTTCCAATTATGATTGCTCTGTTTGCTGCATTAAGGAACTATCAAGGCATGAGCTGGGTCCCCAGGGACAGGCTGCAGACTGTTGGGTCTCCACAGTGGAGCCAAGTTGGCACTAAGCCCCACATTCTGCTTCCCATGACAAGCCGTGCTCCCCTTTGTGAGATATCTAGACAGGGTTAGGGGGAGACTGGGCATAGAGCATGGGGAGCTGCCAGGAGAAGAAGGGAAGGAGCAATCTCCCCTTCACAGTTACGGGCCACAAGTGAAACATCCACATATGAAGTTCCCAGCAGGGAAATAATGAGTGTGGGTACATTTGAGAACAGAAAAGGGAGTGATGAGGACAAATTCGGGGGGTTTTGAGGCCCTAAGCCCACAGGCAACAACCGTCCCTCCAGCGACCCCATACTATGAAAGAAGGAATTATATCTTCCCGTTAGCCATTTTAGCAGTGATAGCTTCTCCATAAAGGCTTGAAAGGCCGTTAACAAGAGACTCTTTATAGAGAGAGATCTAGATTCAAATCCTGGCTCTCATTTCCTATCTGTGTGACCGCTGCTAAGTCCTTTCTCCTCTCTGGGCCTGTAAATTGAGAGGGTTAGAATAGCTGGTCTCTCAAGTGCCTTTTGACTCACATTATGGAATTCTAGGATTCAATACATTGGTGCTGTGGCTGGGCTCGGGTGTGGATGAAAGACTCCATAGAGAGAAGCAGTAGCCACTATGATGGGATGAGAATGATACTCCAAATGGAGCCACTGCCATCAGACCTTTTTCTCTGATCTTTTAATTCAGGTCTGGCATCTAGCCCTTCCTTCCAACTCTCAGGCTTTTTAATTTCCCAATTGTCAGGGTACTTTCATACATTATCTCACTTGATCACAATATCCTGTTGGAAAGTAAATTCATAAAATGTCAGAGCTGGGACGACTTTAGAGATCATCTAGACCAATCCTTTCATTTTACAGATAAGGAATAGAGACCCTGAGAGTGTAAATGATTTGAGGTCAATTCCTTAAACATTTACAAAGCACCTACTATGTGCTAGCTTCTAAAGATACAAAGACCAAAATGAAAATCGACCATGGCCATTCTGCAGGAAGGAGAGACAACATGGGATCATGGGATCACACATTTAGAGCTCGAAGACTTGGAAAGCCATCTAGTCCAAATCCCTTCATTTTGTAGATAAGGAAACTGAGGCCAGAGACCTTCAGCGTTATGCCCAAGATCACACAGGTAGTAGTGACAGAGTCATGATTTGAACCCAGGTCCTCTGATTTCTCTTTCCCCCTATAACACGTGTGCAGGGAAATAGACACAGAACGTATTTCAGGGGGTGGGTAAGCACCAAGAGCTAGAGAGATGACAAAAGGCCTTGCATACATGGTAGCACTTGAGCTGAACCTTGAAGAGAGCTCCAGATTCCAAGAGGTGGGAGACAAAGTGTTCCAGGCAAGGGCACGGAGGTGGGAAGCCGAATGGTGCATTCAGAGGAGTAAGTGATGCAGCTGGAACTTGGACCCATCCATGTCTAGCCACCTTCCCACCCTAACACACACAAGGTAGGGATCCCAGTCCCCATTTTCTAGAGCAGAACCTAGATAGATTGTGTGCCTTATTTACAAGCACATCTGAGACTAGAACAGAGCTCTCCTCTACCCCTGGCCTATGCCTCTTCCACCTCACCATGTTAGCCAGGAAGCCCTCCTCTCTATATCGAGGACTCACCAGCCACCTGTGTTTGCCATTCTAACCCATCTGTCTGTGTCACAGGAAATCCTGTCACCGTTGGAATGAGCATCCACATCTCCAGCATTGACCAGATTTCGGAAGTCAACATGGTGAGTCCGTGACAAAAGACTCTTTGGCCACGGCCTACATAATGTCCATTTGTCTGAGGGTATGGGGATCTGATTATGTTGGAAAATCAATTTAGCAGGAGAGCAGAACTTCTCTCTGCCCCCGACAAGCAAAATTTGGCCATGTGAAGCCATTGGTTGGGTGCTTTCCTGAGGTTGGGGCTTCCACAAGCCTGGGACCACCTTGAGAGTGTGGGGGTCAGGGTGGTGGCTGAGAAAGAGTGGGCACGCCTGATTCCTAACTCCCACCATGCATTGGGAGATCTCGTCCCTATAAAAAGAATGGAGATTCACCTTCCTGTTCAAAAACACTGTGGAGGAAAGGGGGCTGTGTAAAGAAACTCTTCTGGTGGGGAAGGGGACAACACTCACTGTTGAGCCCCAGACCTCTCTCTGTAAGGGATTTCCTTTTCTCTGAATCAACTGTGGTGGCATCACCTTTATCTTCATAGTTACTGGCACCTTCCTGACCTCTGGGGTCCCTACAGGCCCCCAGGTCTCCTGGCCATAGCAAAGAACCCAAAGTCCTCTCACCCATAAGCTACCTGAGGAACAGGGTTAAAACAATGCTCAGCTTTACTAAGAAATGACCAGGGGAAAGAAACACCAATGGAAAGCAGAGTGAAAGTTCACTTGATCAAGTAGAAACCTCTCTGACTCTGTCTGATTCCCTACCCCCAACCTAAGCTCTCTGAATCTGCCCCTGGCCCCTCCCAAAGAGAGAAGGGAAGGGGAGAAGAGAGGCTGGAATGAGTCACCTCCAAGGCCACATTGGACTTAAAATCTTCTTAAGAATCCTCCTCTTCTCCTTAAGCTGTGTCAAAGGCAGACCCTCAGGTGAGCATTCGGCTGTGAGGGAGAGGACCAAGACAACAGGAGGAAAACATGGTGAGAGGCAATATGGTACAGTGGACAGAACACTGGGCTTGGAGTCAGGAAGATCTAGGATAAATCCTACCTCCAACATTTACTCGATGTGGGACTGTGGGCAAGTGACTTTACCTCTCAGCCTCAGTCTCCTCATCTGTAAAAAATAAGGGGTTACCCTCCATGGCATCTAATGTCTCCTCCAGCTCTAAATCTGTGATCCTATAAAACCCCACCAGGGAGAAGCCATTTCTTTACACAGCTACCTTTTGGGGTTGGACATTCCTGGAGCAAAGTGAATTGACCAGGCACCCACCAGACCCACCAGTCTTGGCCCATGGGTTGATGGCCACACTATGGCCAGATGGGGTGGAGGGAGAGAGAGGGCTGTCTCCACTGGGAGACACTGAACAGGAGGAACAGGATAGGCTTGGAGGCTGGGGATGAGTAGGGGGAACTGTATCTAATATTATTACATTGGGTGGGAAATATTGCAAAGGTCTGCTTGGTGCCATCTTTGTGAGCACCAATTAAAGAGAACTAGGCAAGATGGAAAAACAAAGGTAGGTGCTTCCTTTGGACCTTGCCTGCAACTCTATGCCAAGAGAATGGAAAGCAAACACCAGCCCTCCATGTGCTCCTTGAAGAAAGGTTTGTCAAGGTAGAAGTATTAGTGCATGCTACTAGTGATTGAAAATGTTACAAACAATGGTAATTATTGCCCCTGGTAGCTTGAGTCTTGCCCTCAATCCAAGCTCATGGCCACAAGGGAGAGTAAGGTACTGTTTCTCAATGGGGTGGGGGGAGGTGGGGGGAATAGGAAGAGGCCAAAGAATAAAGAAATGAGAAGTGCCTAAGCAGAGCTGGGTTTCCATGGAAATAGTTTAGCCTGTCTTGGTGCCCAGTAAAACCTTACCGTCTCCTGTCAGATCCCAGCTGAGCCAGGCTGGTGTGGTCTACGAATTATGGGGATAGTTAAGAGTCATCCAGAACCACCCAACAGGGTGAGAGAGCCTTAATAAAATATTATCACTCCTTTGCTTCCCTCCCAGTTCTCTCAGGAGCCTCAGTTTCCTCACCTATAAAACGAAGGAGTTAGTATAATGGAGACGGCACATAATTTGGAGTCGAGAGAAACCTAAGCTCAAACCCCACTTTGGACACATCACTGAGCCTCAACTTCATGATCTCTAGAATGGGAATAATAATAACCTACAATATCTCCCTCACAGAGTCGCTATAAGATCAAATTAGATAATGTCTGCAAAATGCTTTGCAGACCGTAAGAGTGTTGCATAAGTAGGGGATAATGGAGGCAGATCTGTTGTTTTATACCCTGGTGGATTTTTGGTGCTAAATTGGGCAGTAGATACAATTAGAGAGAAAAGACAGTAGATGTAACAAGATGCAAATTGCATAAATTTGTGCAGAGAATTCCAGGAACTACAGGTCATTTTGGGCAGGCCTTGTCAGAGAAAGCATCCTGGAGCAGATGGTGTACCTAAGTTGGATCTTGAAGGATGGGAGGATTGGAGTAGGGAAAAAGGAAGGAGAGCCAGTATTTCAAGCAACCAGAGGTACAGTGCAAACTAAGACATGGAGATAGAAATGAGTGTTGTGTAGTGTTTTGCGGTGACTGGAACAACAGTGAAGAGATCAGTCCAGAAGGAATTTCTTGTTCACGGCAATGAGCAGTGAAGGATAAGGCATGTCAAGATTGGATTGTGGAGGACCTTGAATGTCAAGGTAAGTGCAGACCTAATACTGAAGGTGACGGGGAGCTATTTACAAGTACTTTCGAGTAGAGAAATATTTTTTTTTAATTAGTCTGGCAGTAGTGTAAGTAATGGCTTGAAAGGAGGAGAAGATTAGTAGAGGGAAAAACAGAAACAGTTTGTCATCAGAGTAGACAGCAGACCACCTGGACAGAGAGAAGAAATAGATGAGTTTAAGAAACAGATCACAAGTCTGGTACAGAGGCATGATAGAGTAGTGCTGGAAGCATTTCAATTATCCATGAAATGCAGAGCAGCTAATAACTTCTTAACTTACCTTAGAGAGAATTAGATCCCAAATGGAATTTGCCTTTGTTGGTTCCTCCATCCTTGGAGGTTGAAACTGTCCTTAACAGGGTAGAACTGGCTGCCGGGGTTGAGCGGAGAAGGAGAGGAAATCTAGGTATATCCTGACATGCAGCCTAGATTTCCGGAGAGGAAATTCCAAGGTGTTCAGAGGAAGGATAAGGAGGATACTATGAACTAAAATTTTTCAGGACAGCTAAGCACAAGAAGTATGGGAAACTCTTAAGTTTAGAATTCTGAAGACACAAAGGGACACAGACCTAAAAAGGAAGGAAGAACAGGAATCATATGAAAAGACTGGTGTGGATGCACAGGGAACTCACCAAACAACTTCTGTTTTTAAAGCCTCGTGTAGAAGATGGCAGCAAGGCTAGAAAACAGGATGACTACAAGAGCATAGCATCATCCTGCAAGGATAGTGTCAGGATGAGCTGAGGCTGGCAAGGAAAGCTTAAGGATCAAACAGACACCAAATACACACTGAGGAAATACCAAGCAATTTGTACAGGGAGATTAGGAAAGGCCTTCCACAGCAAGGGGCACCTAGACTGTGATTTGAATAAAGTTATGGATTCCACAAAACAGAGGTGAACAGGGAGGGGATTCCAAGCAGAGGGGCCTGCCTATGCAAAGAGAGGAGAGGGGAGACAGGAGAGAGAATTTCATGTGCAGGGAACAGCAAGAAAGCCCCAGTATAGAAGTAATATGAGATCAGTCTGGAAAGATAGGTTGGAAGGGCTTTAAATGCCAAACAGAAAAGCTTATCTTTTATCCACGAGAGAATAGGGAACCCCTGAAGGTTCTTGAGCAGGCAAGTAACATGATCAGACCTGTGCTTCAGAAATAGCAGTTTGGCATAAAATGAAGAAGGAGAGACTTGAGGCAGGAAAACCAATGAGGAGGCTATTATAATAGGCCAGACATCCACATGAGGAATACTAAGTGGCATAGCATTGAATTTGGAGACTTATTCCTTGCTGCCTTTGTGACCCTGGGCAAGTCACCTAACCTCCCTGGGCCTCACTTTCCGCATTTATAGAATGAGATGTTTTCTTCCAGCTCTAGGCCTATTATAATCCTATGCGCTGCCCAGTAGGCTGTTGACAATGTGGACATCATGCTTGAGTGACAGGTTGGGACTGGACGTAGGTTAAGGAGTTACATCTTCAAAGAGATGGCAAGTGGAAGAACGTGACCAAGAGGAGAAAGAGAAGAAGGGACTATCCCCACTGGAACTAGACAACAGAGAGTGGCTCTTCCGCCAGAGGACAGGTGAATTGTCTGGGGAAGCAGGATCTCCCTGTGCTTCACAGAACAAAAAAGAAGATTCATCGGTGCAAGGAATGCTGTTACCAGTCTCGGGAAGAAGATATGGGGAGTGATGGCTAGATCCTCCCCGCTGAAGGCAGAAAGGAGGCCATATGTGGACCTCACATGGCCACGTGGGAAGCGTGCTGCCTTCCTGGGGTGCCGAGCCAAGATGAGACAGAGAAGCTGCCAAGTCTCCAGCCCACTTCTGCTGATTCACATGGGTAAGAATGATGCCACCAGAAGAAACCTGGGATGGAAACCAAAGGGCTTGGGGGAGGCGAGGGGGGTACACACACACGTGGGATTTTCATCACTTTTCTCCACTTGAAAGGTATGTATTACTTTGAAAGAGAAGGGAGGATGTGGAAAGTAAACAACTAGCCAAGTAGATGCTATCTAAGAATGGAATTTGATTTTCTGGCCCATGACTCAAGGCACCAGAATAATGGGCAAGGGACGGAGCACAACTGATGGGAAGTGGGATGAATGTATTTGGCAGAAGACCCACTGACCTGATCAAGAGGGCGTCGAGCTGAAGTTGAAGGAGGAAGGGAAAAAACGCTCAGGTAAAACTGCAAAACCAGATGCTTAGAAAGACAAGCGGGCTGTCATCAGAAAGAAGCCCAGTCTTGAAGGAGGTGCCCAGTCATTCTCAACAGCAGGGAAAGGAGTCAAGAACAATACTCACGGCCTCCAGCGCCTCCCTGATCATTTTATATCAGGAAGAGGAGTAAGCAACAAAGTCACTGGTACTCTGTACCTAGTTCTGACCAACAAGAAGGGAGTGGCTGGTGCTGTGGGAACTTTGAAAGAAAGTGCCCATGTCATCTTAGAGTTCATGAGAGTTCATGAAGTGAACCCAAGAGGAACATCAGTCTCTAGAAAAAGAAAAATCTGACTATATAATGAAGATACACTTGGCTCTCTGTCCTCTCAGAATCTTTCTTGCACACGATCAGTCCTTCCTTTATACTTGTGCTAGACAGTGTGCTATTCCATATCCCTGTGCAGAATCTAGGGCAGTTGGTGTTAAGTAAGGTCCTACTGATGTTGATGGCAGCCATTCTCAGTCGCAAAAGCAATAGATTGGAAGGAACTAGGAATCTAGTCCGTCCCCCCGCCGCCAGGCCAACTGCACAGAAATCTGCGATGAACAACACATTAGCCCTTGCTTATTAAGCCCACTCACATTCTGTCTTGGGTTGTAGTTATGTCTTCCAAAGAGACAAAGATTTCCAAGACAGAACAGAGACTCTGCCTTCTTCATCCTCTTGGGCCCTGTAGCCCAGTCTACCTCAGGGAGAGGTGCTCGGAAGAGTTTTGTTGATTGAATGAATGAATGAATGTCCCAAGGAAAAGAGTGGAGACCAGTGAAAGTTACAGAGAAGCCAATAGTGTCTGGAAAACCTTCCTGGTCCTTCAAGCTTTCCCAAAATGGAATGGGCTGCCTTGGAAGGTAGCGGTTTTTCCCTCTCCTAAAGTCTTCAAGTGAAGGCTTGTTGAAGATGTTACAGAAGGGATTCCTGTTCAAGTACAGGTCCCGCCCAGCCCTGAGATACTGTAATGCTTCATAGACGCATTCTTTGGTGGCCCATTTCAGCTCTTTCTTCCTTTTGCCTAGCTTCTGTCCTGCTCGTTCCAATGGAAGCCCAGCTCTTTGGTGTCTGTCCCCAGTAGAGAAAGCCTGTGTTCCTGCATGGCAATGAAGCTCATGTCCATTGGCCTTCCCCTCCAAGAGGTAGGAGGGGCAATGGCTGCTCTGATGTCGTAGTCTGTCTTACAGAAAAGCAAAGTCCTTTGGTCACATAGCTAAGACAACCCATTGGTAGCAGTGGAAAAACGACTGCATCCTCTGGCTCACCTTCTCTCTCCACTTGGAGAGCAAGAAGATAGTAATAACAATATTAACTCCGATATTTATGGCACCGTAAGGTTTGCAGAATGCTTCCCTCATAATAACTCCATGAAACATGGAAGCATGACTGTCCCCATCTTACAGCTAAGGAAACCGAGACTCAAAGAGGTGGTGGGACTAACCCTATGATTACACAGTCAATAAGTATCCGAGTTAGGGTTTGAAGCCAGGTCTCCTGATTCCAAACCCAGTGTACAATTTACCATAGGACATAGGGATCCGAGGAGAAAGGGAGAATGGTAAGAACCTTGAGGAGCCATTGGAGGCATGTGAAACCTCTAGAGTAAAGAGTCTTAAGTGCCTATGGATCCCTTCTAAGAGTAATGGGGTTTTTTAAAAAGTGCATAAAATGAAACACATAGTATTATGAAGAAAACCAGTTACAGTGAAATACAGTTATCAAAATATTTTTAAAAACAGGTTCACAGATCCCAGGTTAAGAATCTCTGATCTAGACAGTACATGCTTAACAAATGCTTGTTGAATGACTGATTGAACGGTGTTCAAGGCCCTGTGCTGGGTGCAGGGGCTACAAAGACAAAAATGAATCGATCCCTGACCTCAGGAAGCTTCCACTCTACCCATCTAGGTAATTATAAAGCATATACCAAGTGAATACTAATTCATTTTGCAGGAAAGGCATTAGCAACTGGGGGAACTAGGCTAGGCCTTGTATAAGAAGTGAGCAGGGGGTGGCGGCATTCTAGTGACAAGTGGAGGCCTTTCCTCCCCTATCCTGTCCTGTTCTGTCCTCACCTCACCTCCCTTGGTGCATGTCGGGGACAGTGACCCAAGACAATAACTGCAGGTGGGTGGGCAGTCAGCTTTCCTGGCCACACTTCTGTGACCCCAGGTTTTTCCAATTAGATGGGCTTTCAGAAAATAAAGCTGAGCACTTTGATAGCATATTTTGGTAGATAATAAGGAAATCCTTGACAACCAGAGATATGATTCTGCAAAGAATACCACAAACATGAAGGAGCCCAACTTTTTGGTAACAAATAAACCCTCCAGCATAGCATTTGGCATATTGGCAAATACATAGGGTGCTCAAGTAATGAAAGACCTTGGGCTCAAATGTCAGAGCCAATGGCTGGAGAGAACTCAGACTCAAAACTGCCCACGTTTTATATGGTTTTAAAATACCAAACCTCATTCTGCATGAATCTGTGGAGCTGGGAGAGACAGTAATAATCCTCCATGCTGCGCGGTTCTCAGACTTTCTCTTAAGTCCAGAGCTGTGATTTCCTCCCTGTAGATGCCAGGAGTGGTGGGAGATTGGCTGGTCTGCGCCCCGCAGGAGGCGGCGGCCAGAGACAGGATTAGCTAGAGACTAGAAGAGACCTGCTGCTCTTCACCTTTGACCTCCAGGACACTAGCTCAGCCCCAGCCTTCAGAGAGAATGGCTATGTAGGACCAGAAGTAAGTACTCTGTGGTTCTGAGTAATGGATTGATGGTAAAGAAGGCAAATGAGTCTCTGTAGTGGAGGTCAGTGGGAGGCAGCCAGGTTCTAGGGCAAAAAAACTGTGATTCCAAAGTCAGGGGAGCCCCAGCTCTGGGTCTGCTCTGTCACTAACTCCCTGTGAGGCTTTGATTAAAGAGTTCCACTCATTTACTCATTCAACAAGCATTGTACTAAGTATTTCAGATATGCTTGCAACTGGGGTTACAAAAACCACAGTGAAGTCATCCTTGCCTTCAAGGAACTTACATTCTAATGAGGGGGACTACATGCAGAGATAAATAAATACAAAATAGCTATAGATACAAAATAACTAGCAAGTCCGATTGGAGGCTCTGGTTTCTTCCTGTAAAATGAGAGGGCTCAGTGAGCTCCCTGAAGGCCCAGGCCAGCTTTGGTTTTCTGTGGTGTTGGAATAGTAGGGGCCATGCCACAGCAGAACTGTGCTCCCAAATAACAGTTCCCTTGGGTGAATGTCCCCAAATGACTTCTAGCACACTCCATGTCACAGAAAGCTCCTATGACTGGCTCCAGCCCTTTGGCATCTCACTTCAAAGGGTAGATGTTGATTGACTCCATCCGGCAATCCAGAAATAAGCAGCAAGGTCAGATGCCTGCCACTAGAGAAGGAGAGGTTGCTCCTACTTGTGGGAGAGAAAAACTGCCAAGAACCCTGTCCATGTGGCCAGTCACGAATTCCACAGAAGTAGAGCCCTAGTCTGAGGAGTTATGGGGGCTTGGCATTTTGTAAGGAGAAAGGCTTGACTCCTTGAAGGCCACTCCCCAAGAAGACCTCAGCCTCTTGCTCCTCTCTGCCATCTCCAGGGAACAGAGGTAGAGGAACAATGTGATGATTCCTACTCTTCTCTGTTGGTTGGCAAGATGCCAATAGCTGGCATCAATTTCAAGCCAATTTTCTCAAGGCAATCTGATGTAGTAGAAAAAGCCACCTCCCACCCTAAATATCCCCTTCCCCCCCCCAAAAAATGTCATGGACAACTACACCTCCCAGCAGGCCACACTCCCCTTAGCCCACTGACAGCTCCCCATGGAAGACCCCTCCAAACTGCCCCATCCTGCACAACATATACAAATATATCTATATATGTCCTTCACTACTCATTTAAAACTATTTCTAAAAGTATAAAAAGAAAGAGTGAGCCATGAACTCTGGGAGTCAGGGGACCTGGATTCTAGTCTTGCCCTGCCATTTGCTGGCTATGTGACCTCAGGGATACTCTTCCCCATTCTGTAAAATAGGGTGGGGGCGGGGGAGGTTGGTAGTCTAAATGACTCTTTTCCATCCTTTCCATCTTAAACATCCTGTGGTTGCATCCTTCATGACTGCTGGCTACTGACCATAATCATAACTGGTTTTGTTTTTCCAATGTGATGACTGTGGAAACAGCCTCGGCTCGTTGAGGAGGTGAGGCAGAGCTGCAGCCCCACAGCGACTGCCATTTGTACTGCCCTGTTAGCTGGATGGTGGGAGCCGGGAAAATCGGGAGCTGACTAGTCCCCATACATTCCTGCCTAAGTGGCTCTTATTTTTAAAAACCCATTACGTAATCTGAGAGATGGGAGGGGCCCCAGAGGTCATGTAGTCCAACTCATATGCAAACAGGAATCACCAGTACAAAGTTCTTGACAAGTGGTCATCTAGTCTGAAGCCCTCCAGGGAAAGGGAGTTCACTTTCTCCCAAAACAGCTCATGGTTCCGGGGCAACTAAGTGACACACTGGACCTGGAGTCATGGAGACCAGAGTTCAAATCTGGCCTCAGACACTTACTAGCTATTTGACCCTGGGCAAGTCACTTAACCCTCATTGACTCCAAAAGAAAGAGAAAGAAAGAAAGCAAGCAAGCTCATTTCATCTTCAGACAACTCTGGTAGTTAAGAAGTTGTTCCTTGTATTGAGCAGAAATCTGTGCATCTTCCACCCACTTCTTCTAGTTCCTCCCACCTAGAACCAAGAAAGCCCTTCAAAAACGTGAGAAGCTATCTCACATTCTGCCCTGAATCTCCTCTTCTCCAGGCTAAATAACTCAGCTCCTTCCGTTGATTCTTGTAGGACATCATTTCCAGGCCTCTCACCACTACCTCATTGCCCTTGTCTGGATGCACTCTAGTTTGTTAATGTCCTTCCTAAAGTGGGGTACCCAGGACCAAATAGAACATCACAGATGTGATCATACACAGTCCTACACAGTCCGCTTCCCTTGATGAAGCCTACATTTGCTTTAGTTTTCATGGATGACTCATATTGAGCTTCCAGTGACTAAAAACCCCCTGATCATTTTTCAGATAAATTTCTGTCTAGCCACAACTCCCCCTCATCTCGTACTTGTTGATTTTTTGACCCCGAAGTGTAGGATTTTACATTTATAAGTCTCCATTAAATTTCATTTTATTAGACTAGGCCAATATCATTACTTGTCTAGTTTTTTTTTTTAATCCTGACTCTGTCATACAGCATGTCAGCTAACCCTCCTATCTCCATGTCATCGGCAAATTCGATAAGCATGTCATCTATGCCTTTATCCAAGTCATTAATAAAAATGCTAAGTAGCACAAGGCCAAGCATGCATCACAGGAAAACTCCAATAAAATCCTCCTTCCAAGTTGAAATTGAGACATTAATAACTACTCTTCCAATCCTGCCTTTCAGTCAATTGCAAATCCACCTAATTTTATTATTGTTTAGCCCACATCTCTCCATCTTTGCTGCGTGTAGGGACTCAGGGCCATCCGTAAAGATGCAACCATGTTCCTCCCATCAAAAATCCCTTGTATCATATCTTTCCCTTCCTTCTGAATGCCACTTAAATCTCACATCCTCCCAGAAAACCCTCACCGGCCATGCCAAATTCATAAATTTCCTTACCTCCCCTCCACTCCTACTGCTCTCATAGAGCAATGATGCCTCCATTGATGTCTGTTTCATCCTTTATAGATGTTATGAGTCATACCTGAAAACTGGCCCAAATGCAGATAGGCAGCCAATTGGCCTTGGGCCATTCTAATCATGTGGGACTTTTACCTTTGACTTTCATTCATTCTTCCAAGAAACATTTGTTAGGCAGCCAACCATGCACAGTACAGATAAAGGATGAAGGACATTCTTTCCAAATGAGATCTGGTTCTGCTGGTTTTCTCCATCTTTCTAATTCATCAATGCCTGAGTGGCTCACAAATATCTTCTAGTAGGTTTCACATTTTTTTTTGTTTGCTATGCTTATTCAAAGGAAAGACAACTCCACTTCTGCATCCCAATTGAATTTTTTTCAAATTTGTCCACATCCCAGTGGGTTGAAAATGATTCTTAATGTTTCTCAGCATATGAGCCAGGTGAGTGGCCT